CTCTCTCTCTCTCTCTCTCTCTCTTCGCGGCTGGCCTCATGGTACTGCGCCCTCCATAGGATGAGCAAAATCGAATGAATCTGGCGCTATAGCGTGGGAATATACACTGCCATTTTTTTTTTCGTTCTTTTTTTTCGATTGTTTTTTCGTTTTTTTTTTCCGTTTTTTTCATTCTTTCACTCCGACGTTCGGGATGCCTGCGCCCGTTAGTCCGAGCCTCGGCACGGATCGGCGTACCGGTCGGCCGAGGCTCGGACTCGATAGCTGGGCCAGGTACTGGTGGTTTAACGACTGGGCATTCCATTCGGCCAGGGAAATAGGTTCAGTTCCGGAATACAAGGGGCACAGATAGATCCAATCCGTCTTGTTTGCGCTGGGGACAGGGAGAACCGAGACAATCATGTAGGACAGACTCACTTTTACTCCAGGTCCCATTTAGAAATAATGGCCTCACGCACACTTCCACCCTCGAACACACTTTGTTTGACAGTCTCCACATATACATTTATAGAGGACTCTTTGGCGGTCAGCATCTAGTGGACCCCCTAACTGTTTTTTTTACCAAGTTCACTAAGTTCCTACTCTTTCTTTTTGACTAAGTCAATCCCGTTGGGAGGGACTGTCAAAGCAGCAGCTAGAACTTAGAAGGACACTCAGTTAATTTTCTTTAAATCCGCGAAAGGTAGAGAGAAGATGAGCGCGAGGGGACATATAACGAGGAGAACTGGCCTTCCCCCTCACGGGCACAGATCTCCCAGCCTTACGGAGGAGAAGCTCAAGGGCATCAATAATTGCTAGAACAGTGAAACTGGGCATGTCTAGACCCTAAAGTCATATGCATTTTATTCCAAAAGGGAAAAAGAAAAGAAAAAAAAAAAAGAAAGATGGAAAACGGGATGACTAAAGCTTAGCCCTCGAAGAGACGAATTAAACAATTGACAGCGGTCATGGGCGCAAAAGAATAGTGGGAAGAGAGAGGGACCGCCAGAGACCGACCACTGCTGAGAGACACAGCAACAGTAGTTGCATGCACGCACACGGAAGCAGAGACAGGCAGTGAAAGAGAAAGACCAATCAATGACAACAGACAGTGACACAAGCAGCAACGCTTCATGTCTGAAACATGACTGAGGGGGGGGGGGGGAAGGGAAGGGACTTCATGACACAATCTCATCGTCATTCCTGCCAGGACCTCTCAATTGATAGAAACAGTTAGGCTCAAGAGTCAAGTTTTGACCATTTCTCGATTTATATGTGTCATCCTTGCACAGGGACCATGCTAATCTTCTCTGTATCGTTCCAATTTGAACGGATGTCCCGAAGGACATGAGTCTTGGAATCTTACTCGCCCATTCACGCCAAAATTATAAACCAGCAGTTCCCTCGAGCCTAAGTCGGTGAAGCTACCTGCCAAGGCTCACAGAGCCTCTTAACTGCTTTTGTTCCATAACAGCCTTCCGTGTTCACTACTGGCCTATGGCCAAACCATCATGGTCTGACCGCGCAAAAACGGTAAGAGACCAACTTAGCTTCGGACAAACTGGGGTGTGTTTTAACACCCTCGAAGTCCACGCCTATATTACATCCTACCGATTCCTACGTCCATAAACTGCGAAAACATCAGTCAAAATTACCTCAACAAACTTGAACAAAGCAATTTATTCCTACATCCAAAAACATCAGTCAAACTTCAACAACGCGATTTATTCCTGCAAGATTGGGAACAAGTTCCAAACAACTGATACGACAAATTTTGCACAGATACGGCTATTGTTTTCCACAAAGCACAACGATATAGGTACTTGTGATACAACAAGAAATCAGGAACACAGCTGAGTGCCGATCTCATCTACGACGGCGTACTATTACTTCGCCTTTTATACTATAAAAATATATATATGGAGAGAATGACAAGGATACAAGTACTTGTGAAACCTTGTCTTTTGCTGCGGAGGTCGACGGTTCAAATCTGTGCTCGCACAGAGGTGGTCTTAGCCCCTCCAGATGTGTGGATCCATAACTACTACTGTTTACTACACCAACCACAAGGAAAGGTACTTGTGATGTGAATGACATCATGGTTTTCAACGAAATGTTGACATACGCGTGAGGAAGGATCTAGTTCACCTGTGTGGAATCTGAGCGACGCGCATCGCTGCCCGTAGGAAACCCCTTTATGACATAACCCAAAATTTGGGTACTAAGAAGAAAAAACCGATCTCATGCGCCGTTTTACGACTCACCCGATGAATGACATCTGCCCCTCGTTGCGTCCCGTCTCCACCGATTATGTATACCTGCATTTAGTAGTAACAATGAAAAGAAGGAACCAGAATCAGCCAGCCATATGCAAACAGTAAGTAGTAGGAAACTTTGAAGTTAACACTCTTGTTCTTCTTTTTCTTTTTCTTTTTTTCTTTTTTTTTTATTAAAACAAGGGGATGCCCACCGCACATGTGGCAGGGAGCGTGAGGGGGGCAGCGGACACAGGGTCCCAGCAAAGAACTGCACGGCAAGTCCCAGCAGCAGCGTCGCGGGGGGGAGGCTGTCTCTTATACACATCTAGATGTGTATAAGA